CTTGTTTAGACAATGTGTTAAACTAGTTAAAGCGAATACTTAATAAAGAAAGCAAAATTTATTTTAAAAACTTGTGAAAAACGAAAATTGTATTTTTTGTCTTGTTTTCAAGATTGAAGAGAAAGTATGTTTCTACAACTTTTATATAGCAAATACAAATTAATTTAAAATATCTGCATGGTAATATATAATATTATTTTTTCCTTTCTTTTTGCGTAGATAGGTTTTGTTTATCAACATTTCAAATTTAAATTGATAACGAATGATTATTTGGTAATATATAATGTTAAGATTTTTCGGGCAAACGGCCTTCGGGCAAGTGGCATTCGGGCATTTGTCGCATTCGGGCAAGTGTCCATTCGGGCATTTGTCGCATTCAGGCAAGTGTCCATTCGGGCATTTGTCGCATTCGGGCAAGTGTCCATTCGGGCGTTTGTCGCATTCGGTTAAGTGTCCATTCGGGCGTTTGTCGCATTCGGGCAAGTGTCCATTCGGGCATTTGTCGCATTCGGGCAAGTGTCCATTCGGGAAATCGGCCTTCGGGCAAACGGCATTCGGGCAAGTGTCTTTCGGGAATTTGTCGTAGACCCCTAATTTGGTAGTACTTCATTCGTTAATATTATTAACGATTATTATTGATTTATCCTTACAATAATGCAGATTACTTCTTTTCTAAACTGATTATACAAATATAATTAACAGTCTAATTATCGAATAATAGTCAAGAAAATGCGCCAGATTTTTTAAGGCGACATTCCCCCCCCCCCCACCTCGTCTCCCTGTTCCCACTACCTACTCCCTTAATCCTGACCTTTTTACCTACTCCCTTAATCCTGCCCTTCTACCTACTCCCTTAATCCTGCCCTTTTTACCTACTCCCTTAATCCGGCCCTTTTTACCTACTCCCTTAATCCGGCCCTTTTTATCTACTCCCTTAAATCCGGCCCTTTTTACCAACACCCTTAATCTGCTCCTTCTACCTACTCTATTAATCCGGCCCTTCTACCTACTCCCTTAATCCGGCCCTTCTACCTACTCCCTTAATCCTGCCCTTCTACCTACTCCCTTAATCCTGCCCTTCTACCTACTCCCTTAATCTTGCACTCCCTAGTCGGACGTTTAAATTTCTTGTAATTTTCTTGCTATGAGCTCCCTCTACAAAACAAACCCCTTCAACTATTGCGCGATAGCCTGTGTTAAGCCTTTCCAAAATATAATTCCCTCTGTTGAGATAGTAGTGCAAGAGTGGTGACGGGGAAAGGGTGAGGAGGGGGAAGGGAAGAGGTGTAAAATCTGGGATTAAGAATCTATAGTTACACCCCCCGTACCCCTTCTCTCCTTCTCTCCAGAGAAATTCGGCTATCTTCTCTAAACACTGCTACTGTTACTAAATATACAAGCAAAACCTCAACCTGTATTATTATTCGGTCTCTAATATGTCGTACGGTGTGTCTCATAAACATCGAAGTGTCTAAAATTTATATATTTTTATGAACCATTAGTTTGCCATAGTGTAGTGTAAAAAATATTTAAAATACTAACAGCACGAATTATGGGGACAAAAATAAAGTAACTATTCATAAAAAAAAAATGTGTGATACATTTTAAAAAACTGTCTTTTTATTTCTTCTCCCTCTTTATTTAATCATTGCACATATTTGTAAAGGTTTACGGTAATTGCTCAACACAAAGGGCTAAAAGAAAAAGTGTCACGACAACAAGCTGCGAGATACAAACAACATGCACTGGTCAAGTCCAAAGTACAGGGGAAAGAGTGTTTCATCCAGACTTCTTTCTCTGGGGGGGGGGGGGGCAAAGTAAAATTTCCGGAGGGAGATGGGCGAACACAGTAAAAAGTATATATTTTCTATAAAAATTATATTTCGTTCGGGGGGGGGGGGGGCGCTAGACTTCTTTCGGGGGGAGGGGGGGCGCTAAGTACTGGAAGAAACAATACAGGGGGAATACATTACACTGTTGAGCTATCTCGCTGTACACTCGCTGGAGGCACTTTTAAGCTCCTGACTCACGCGTATGATAAATGCACTGTAATCGTGGAAAAATCTAAATCGGGATTTAGCCGGAAAAATCTTAGTTTTCAATCCTGTTTGTATGTCTGTCTGTGTGTATGTGTGTGCGTGTGCGTTCGTGCGTCTGTGCGTGTATTTGTGTGTATGTGTGTGCTGGTGCGTGCTTGCATGTGCGTGTGAGCGTGCGTGCGTGGGTGAGTGTGTGAGTGTGAGAGAGAGAGAGAGGGAGAGAGTGTTTGTGTATATTTAAAAACGATAACTTGAGAAACGTTTCAGTGAGGTTGACACAGTTTTAAAAAAGCATTATATCAAATGTGTAGTTTTCAAACAACTTTTGAACGATTTCCTTCACTCGTAAGTTCTAGTTTCTCGAATACCGTGTTCTCAAAAGCCATTAACTAGAGTACCGTTTAAGTTAGGCGAACGAAACTTGAAGTATAAGCATTACATTTATATGCGCAGGTAGACCAAATTTCATACATTGTTATAAGATCGTATTATATTCTTATTTCAAATTCAAAATTATTTCCGGTGACCGCGAGTAAAGGCTACTTTACGTTATTTCCGATTTCTTAAAAAACCATAAGAATTTTATAATGTTCATTACGGTTGCGCAATTATGTCTTCTACTCAATTTACAGTGTGTATAATAGAACGTGAATATAATATCCGTGAATAGTCTCGAATTTTTTACATGGTGTATTAAATATTTTTTAAAATCGTGTAAAAATAAATATGGCAATAAAAAGTTTATTGTGAGGATTTCCGGGGAATTTACTTAAGATTTGATGTATTTGGTGTTTTCGGTATTTTTGGTAACTAAACTTTTTTTAAAGCCAAAAACAATATGGTTGTTTTCATTTTCATAATAGAAAATGTAAATAAAAATGGTAGAACTAAGTCATGTGGTTTAGAAAAAACTTTGTATGTAACAATTTTATCACATTCTCTTTAGAACAAATTACTATGATGTAGTGTTTTCAGAGGACCTATTACGAAGCTTTGTACAGCCAATCAATTTGTTTTACGAAAGTGAAACTTCATTGTTATAACTTAGGTTTGCTGAAAATAAATACAAATGTAGCCACAAACTCAAAAATATTATTTTTAAGTTCTCTAGATTTGAAACTTAAATAACATCGATTTGAAAAATATTAAATTTCTGAATTATTTTCAAGCGTGTTTGTATTTTTTTTTACAATCGTTTTGAAATCACAATCTAAAAAAAAAACGTTATTTATCCATGTCAACAAAAATGATGAAACCCAGCCCATCAAATTCGACCGCTTCCATAATTATTGCTTTTTAAAGGGCAATTTCGCCCAATTTCTGATTTCTTAAAGACCTCCAGAAATTGATAATTCTATATCACCTTCTCATAAAGAATATTCCAAGACATTTTTTATTTGAGCGTATCCCAAAGGAAAAAAAAAACCGGTTTAGTCACAATGTTCTATATTTCTATAACCCGACTGCACTGTAAGTGCCATCCCACCCCCCACCCCCCTTCCCTTCTAAAGTTTAGGGCAGGTCACATGCAGACTTTTTTGAGAAACATCTCGACCTTTTCTCAAGGACACCCACTTTCTTTTTCCCTTTTTTGTCAGGTCACATGAGTCCTTACCCTTGCCCCACTGCTCTCAATAGTGCAACTTAAAATAATATTACACATTGCAGCAGCCAAATACAAAGTTAACCCCCTATCCAACCCCCTCTCCCTGTGTCCACGTCGGTGACCTCTAGACTACCAGTCTCAGCGGTTTAAAATTTAAGCTTCAAGTTTGTTTTTTTTTCTTAATTTACATTCCCCACAACATCAAAAAGTGAACTTCAACCTATACGTAAGTAACATTTTAAAATGTGTTCTACGTTTATTTTGTTGCGTATGGAACTAAGATGGATCTAGTATAAAAATGAAGACAGACGCATATTGTCAACATTCCAAGAATGCAGGGGGAGGGGGGGGGTAACAGTTCATAAATCAAGCTGGAATCGTTTAAAGACCCGTGTGTTTGACTGACAGGGGCTAAGAAAACAGGAAAAAATAAATAAATGACCTGCCAGAGAGAAGTGTAGGTCAAGCCATACAATTGGTTGCCAGGGAAGCAGATGGTCGCCTCGTTTTGGTGCTGTCTCGTTCTGCGGAGTCACCAACGTCCTTAAATATCAGGCACATGTACCACGGCACATTTGTTTCAGAACTTGCTGCCTCCGTTGCATCTCAGCTATTCATTTTCTGTTGATCAAAAGATATTGTGCATCATGTAAGTGATTTTTGGTTGTCAATTTAAACATCCACACACACACACACACATGTATAATTTAAATTTGAGATGATTAAAATGTATTACTATAATATAATATATATCTAATATTAGTGTGTATATATATATATATATATATATATATATATATATATTTATATATATACGAATACATGTTAATTATTTAATACAAGTATTTGCATGGCTCTGTGTAATTAAAAAATAGTAAATTACAAAAATGCACTGCAAAGTCATCTATTATTAACTTGCTATGTATATATAGAGGAGAGTGGTGAGAATTTTTCCATTGAAATTACAACGTAATTGGAGATACTGTAGTGAGAAATGAGACATTTTTTATAATAATAAATTTCACTAAAATTGTATTCAGATATTTTTTGCGGTTAGTGTACACACTGCAACAACCTTGACATATTTCTTGATTTCTCCTCTCCCTACACCTGCAAAAACTCCTAAAAAAAACTTAATCCCCACTCTCTCAGCACACACACACACACACACACACACTCACTTCCACACTGAACGTATCCTCTAAACATAAACATAAAACACAGTGGAACTCCCTTCCGACTCACAGTATTTCAGTTGCTGCGCGCGTCATCAAAACTGAATCCGCCTCTTGCACCAATATTTTTCAACGTACTTAGCTTGAATAGTGCATTTGTTTATTTTGAGAAGGATCTTAATGACAACAAAAAAAGAAACGGCCTGCAACTTTAGACGAGAGAGTAAGAGGAGTAACAAGATGGAGGCGGAGACTAAAAAGATGGATTGTTTATTGTTCCAAGTTCTGATCAAAAGTTTCGGCTGGGAAATTTTCTTGTCTTACGTCTGTGGAGCGATCTCAGAGCTTTTAAATTTTGCTGGGCTGCTGATTTTTAGGTACGAGCTTAGACTCCCCTTTTTACTTTCTCGTATACGAAGTATAGAGGAAGTATTGTAATCGTGCACAAAATCCAAAATGAGATTTTCATAAAATCGAGATTTTCATAAATCTCGACGTTTTACATCTCCCTAAGTCGGAAAAAACTTAGTTTTGCAATTTTGTCCGTATGTCTGTTTATGTGTCAGTGTGACTGTAAACACGATTACTTGAGTACTATTATAGCTAGGTTGGTGAAATTTCGTGTGTACGTATAATTCCAAATTTGTAATAAGATAATTATGTATCAACGTTTCAGCAATTTCCGATAAACGGACACTTATTTTACTTTCGGTTTCTCAAAAGTCTATAACTGATGTATGTTTCAGTTAGGTATATAAAAATTTGTAAGAATAAGATATGAATTCTCTGGTTTGTCAAATTTTGACGGAAAGTAGTAGTTTACGCTTTTTCAGATTTCTCAAAAAACGTCTATAAATCTATTTAAATTTTATTCCTATGTCTATCATCCGTCATAGTCGGAAAATTGCGAGCGAAATTTCGAACACTTTTACAATGTGTTGTGACATAAAATGCTACTTTATTAGGTGATTAATTAACTATTTGAAAATTTAAAATAAATTGTTTTTGGCTTTTTTTTCAATTTTGCTAAGTTACCGAAAATACTAAAAAGCATCAAGTTCATTCAATCTTTTGTAAAGTCCAACAAAAATAAAACGGTAAGATTTATAAAACCATATATTTTATAATGTACAGGATTTTAAAATATGTAATTGGCATTTTAATAATTTCACTACTATTCTCGGTTGTGTCTATTGTTGTATTATTTGAAGATGTTTTATGCTAATTTTCTTATAGAGAGCTAATCCGACACGCTGAAGAAAAGACGCCAGAACCAACCTGGTATGTTTACTTTCTCTCCCTGGCCATGCTGGTCGCATCTTGGTGCCAGACCATTTTCCATCACCAACATCTTCAACTCGCTATGACATCAGGGATGAGGATGAAAACAGCTCTCATGGCGGCCGTTTATAAAAAGGTATTTTGTAATTTTGTAATTTTTTTTTTACTTGTTTTTGAGAACAAATTCAGCTTATCTAAATAAAGTATAGGAAAAATAAAGTATTTTTTAAAACATGAATGACAGGTGAAATTGAGTTCATCTTCTTCCTTGACTTTGGCGCAAAAAAAAAAAAAAAATGATGTCAGTAATACGTACTACGTACGGCGTACGACGGTAATACTAGTAATAGTGATGTGCAACATGTTTCCTCAGAACTTTGACGCAGTTTGAACTATACACGTCATCTACTGTGTTCTAATGTGTTTGATTTAATCTACTTTATAGATCTTATTTGTAAAGACAAAACATCAAGAACAGAGAGGGGAGATCATGCTATTAAATGACTGTGAGAATGTGCAGGATTTTATGAGTTATTCTTCCATGGTGTTGTCAATGCCATTACAGGTAGATCTAGCTTAACTTTGATTTTTATTTTTTGACATATTGTTAATTCCATATCAAATTCTACAATATCAAGCAATGGCTAATTAGTAATTTACACATACTAAGTATTTATGTGTATTAGGCCTTTACGTTTAAAATAAATGACATTATGGATGTAGAAGCAATTTAAATTAATAAACAATTAAAGTTGACATTTTTTATTATTCATTTAAATCTAAGTGTAATAAGTTTATAGTTTATATCACTATGATAGAACATTTTTGGTACTTATAAATACAGATATTTATAATCAATGTAGTTTTATAATAACTTTCTTTAGATATTATTGGCAACTTATCTGCTATGGAACACTGTTGGTCTCCTGGCTTTGTCTGGTGTGGGTTTGTTCCTGCTACTTGTGTTTCTTGCTAGCTTTCTGGCTTACCTACAGGATCAACTACATGTTAAAGATGTGTCATTGAAGAACGAAATAACTAAGATGGTAAATTTATCACACAACAATGCAAACAAAAACACAAAGAAAGAATACAATGGTTACTAAAAAAAAAATTTTTTTAATTATATAACAAAAGATTCTAAAAATCTTTTATACATCCATAAAAAAGGTTAAGAATAGGGTCGGCGTGGTCGAGTCGGTAAAGCTCATGGTTGCTAAACCAAAAAGTCTCGAGTTCGAACCCTCTGGCAGATGAGGCTCGTTAGCTGGGGACAGCCACTCTTCTAGGAGAGACAACTCCAAAAATAAACAACTGCTGCCTTGTTGGTTGGACAAAGGCTATGGAGGCCAATCCAAAAAGAAAAGCAGGCTGAAATCGGAGTCAATGGCCTCAATGGCGCATAACCAGTTGACACGTAACGCTTAATTGTGTTGGAGGCATGGTCGAGTTGGCAAAAAGCTCATGGTTGATAAATTCGAACAAAGTCTCGAGTTCAAACACACTGGCAGATAAATCTCGATCCCCTTCAACACTAATAATTAAGAACGAAGAAGAAGGAGGACTTTGATTGATTTTTTTATAGTGGTGTACAAAATATTTTAGTTGTATACATAATTTAGCATACATTATATACCATCACAGAATATGCACACATTGAATGTTTGTAAAAACAACACACAATGGACAAATGGCACACTTAGGCAGAGAAAAGATAACGCCTGGACCAAATTAGCTGGGATAAAAGCTGTCAGAATTTTTATCAATACTGCTTGGCCTTATGTGGTTTGTATATACCAGTTTATAATAATTATAAAGCATTAATTTTATTATTTGTGTACATTTTATATATGATTCAGTAAATAATTTAGGAATAAAAAGATTTATCTTTAACTTTTATAGGTGTGCCTGGCAACTTTTGCTGCACATTTCGCTATTTACCCAGAGCAGCCATTAACTGCTGAAAAGGCATTTGTGACTATTGCAGTATTCATTTATTTGCAATATCCTATTGAAGTTATTCCAGAGATTGTCTCAGCCACCTCAAAGGTTAAAATTAATTAGCTTTAATATAAAATGCAGTTTTACATTTATTTTATCATTAGTATCAGTACAACTAAATAATTAATGGATGTTTTGTTATTTTATTTTTGTAGGCAGCTGCTTCAATGATGAGAATAGAGGAATATTTATGCAGGGAAGAACTTGATGATTCATATGACAATAAGCTTGATCGTAATGGTAAACAATGTTATTATTTATTATTATCAAGTAACTTAGTAAAAATTTAAGCTGTTAACTTCTTGAATTTTTTGCTTGAATAAAAAGTATTATGCTTTTTAGGCACTAAAAGCTATTGTTATTAAATTAAATTATATCATTTTCAATTTAAAAACAGCTGTGAAAATAGAAAAGGGCCTCTTTACATGGGATCCTAATAATAATTTTAGATTATGCATGTGAGTATTATAAATTTAAAGCTAAAAATGTTATGTTGCTATTATAACTTAAAATTGCATGTAGGGGCATGATTTATATTAGTAGTATTAACTTTAGTACCAAAAGCATACTAGAAGATAAAATTGTAAAATCTTTGGTTGATTTCAGACCAAAACTTGAGATTCCTAGAGGGTCTTTTGTAGCAGTTGTTGGTCTTGAAGGATGTGGGAAGACATCTCTAATGTCTGCGATACTGGGAGAAATGGAGTGTCTTCAAGGTCACATTCAGACTTCTGTAAGTAGAGGTTTTACTCTCGAAACCTTATTATGTGCAAAGAATAAGTCCAACATGATTGTCCCACTCTCCAGTTATGTTTCTATCCTTCCCTCTAAGTTATATATGTATATATATATATATATATATATATATATATATATATATATATATATATATATATATATATATATATATATATATTTATATCTTATATACATACATCACATTTCAGGATGCTATAGCCTATGTTCCTCAAACTGCCGGGATCCAGCAATGCTCTTTAGAAGATAAAATTCTATTCGGTGCTCATTTAAACAACAACATTTTCCACACCATTCTTGAAGTATGTAAACTGAAGCAGGACTGGGCAATCATCTCTGATAAATCAAACATACAAGACTTGGAAGAAATACAGAAAAACAACTTAAAACAAACTAAAGTATGCTACTAGTTATCTTTAAATAAATTCATGGCCTCATAACTAAATTCAAACTAACCTGTATAAATATATTCTCAGTTATTAGAATTAATTAATCATTTCCTTCTGAATTGTTTTTTTTTTTTTTTTGAGGATCTCAAACTGACTAAAATCAGAAAAAAAAAGTTTTAGTATATTTTATTATTTTTATGAACAAAAATAAAGTAGAAGTAACATTGCAGCTATTTTATTGGACTTTCTTTCTGGGAATGTTTCTTTTCTTCAAGAAATAATATACTTTTTTTTGCTATATACCTCATTTTAAAAATGATTTAAATATAGTTTATGATCTTTTCAATTTAATTTTGGTTACCTCAAGAACTCTTCATTCCAATTACTCTTATAATAGTGTAATTATTTTTATTATGTTTTAAGATCTTGAAAATACATCACATAAAATCAAAGTGTTTTTTAAAGACCTAAATATGATCTGCTATAGATATGAAATGCTGGTCACATTTTCCTCAGGGTGTAAACTTAAGCACAGACCAGCAGCAGAAAGTCAGTATTGCCAGAGCCCTGTATTCCAATGCTGATCTGTACTTGTTTGATGATCCTTTGCGTGATGTCCATCCCAATGATGGGAAACACATTTTCAAAAGAGTTTTGTCCAGTAATGGAATCTTAAAAGAAAAGGTCAGCGACACATTGTCAATAATGTTTTAGTATTTTGTAACAGTAAAAAATGTAACTGTCATCCTAGTTTACCAATCCCAAATACAACTTTTTACCAAATATGTAGCTTCATATACTCCAGTGCGTGTTGTTTGAACTGATGTACAAAAACAATAGAAATAACTTATTAATAACTTATTGAAAATATTTTCAAAATAAAAATTAAAAACTATTTTTAATGACTTTAACTGAATAAGCACAAAGTTTCTCATTAATCGTATCTATTCCCATTCTAGTTTCTTTAATATTTTAACTATGTAAATATTATTATTTTTAAAATTTAAAATGCTTTTACTATTAATACTATTATGTCTATAATATGGAAATACCATTTTATTAATATGGCCTTAATATATTTCTTACTAACAGCCAATGTGAAAACAGTCCTCCGAGCCTAATGTTGTAACCATTACTTAACAGATCTAGTGCACATATATTTAGAAATTATATTACTTTAATGAGGCATAATATAAAGTTTAACATCTAATTTGAAATAAATATATAGATATTTACACTTTTGCTCATAGTAGCTGACAGCATGATCAAAGTTTTTAAAAACAAAATGGTTTAATAGAAAGATCCAACACAAAATTCCACTAAGTAAGATATGATATTCTAACAATCATAATATAAGCTTGTTACAAAATGCTTTTGGATACTCTATTTTCATGTTTAAAAGCATAAATCTTATTTAACATTTTTTCAGACGCGCATCTTTGTAACCAGTGAGGTACATTGGTTGCCTCTGGTAGATTTGATCATCTACATACAAGAGGGAAATCTTGTAGAAATGAGTTCTTACAAAGAGCTTATGAAGAAAAATGAAAAATTTGCCAAGTTTATATTATCCAAGTTGACAAAGGAACAAGAACTGAATTCTGAAATTGAAGAAGATGCAGAAGGTCTATAAATTGTATTGTGATATTATAGCTGATAAAAATGCATTAAATATAATATATATATATATGATAATTTAATATAAAAATTACAAACCAAAAATAAGTGCTATAGCAACAACCATGATAACGTATCTTTTGCCAAAATAAACGAGATTTTTTTTCACCAGTCAAGGAAATAAAGAAGAAAATGAGAGAACACAGAGACTTGGTGATAAGCCAGTCAAACTGCAGCTGCCTGGAGAATGATGCGCATGCAGTCAAACACAATGGGTTGGTGTTTTAATTTTTTTAATTAAATATATTTATCATGCAAAAATAAGTAATTATAATATTTTAATTATAATTTTTTTAAAGAATTAACATTATTGAAAAGTTTAGAACTGATGACTTGTTGGAGTGGATCATCACCATCTTTTCTAAAAGATTCTAAAAAGAGACTGAACAAGCTTTTTTCTACAGCATCAGAAACTGGAGACACAAATAGAAATAGAAAATATGATGAAACAAATGCAGGAAATGTAAGTAACTGAATGCATTTTCTATAATTACACTACAATAGTGAATTTTTAAATGTAATTTCTGCTTTTTTTCTCACTTAAGCTAAATGTTGCTTAAATGTTTTGAATAATTTATGTACAGCATCTTGATAACTGTTAATGGATTGTTAGTTTTGTTATTTAGCTGTCAAACATTTATTTCTGTAAAATCATTCTTCTTCCAGCCAAGTTTTCAAGTATTTCAAAACTCTTTTAGGAGAGTATGGTCTTTCAGCGTAACGATCATTCTTGTACTTTTTACTCTATTCCAGGTAAACTTTTTATTATGCAACATACACATTTTAAACCTGGTATCTGATTTTATATTTTGTTCTTTATTTAAAATTATCCTAAAACATAAAGTAATGAATAAGCTTTAAAATGTAGGCTGTCTCTTGTACAGATGTTTAGTCTTTTGGCTGATGTAAAATTAGCTCAATGGGCAGGTGATCCTGAGATTCAGACAGGTAATTTAACAGCACCCAAAAATCAACTTAAACTCAAGAGGTATTTTACAGAGTATGCAGTTCTTGGTGTTGCCGAGGGTAGGCTTTGCTCATTATTTTTAAATATTTTTCTTTTGACAAGTATTTAAAAAACCCATTTAAAAATTTTAAATAAAAATATTTTTGTCATTTTATAATTGTATTACAACTTTTCTTTTCAGGTATTTAAAAATCAGATTTAGAAATATTTTGTTAAAAGTCTACTAGTTTTTGTTCATAGATCATTTTATTCATTATTTCACAAATTAAATTATTTTTCCTTCATCAAATATTTGTAAATCGCTTATATATTTTAAATCTTTAACTTAAAAACAATTACTTATAGTGTGAATTTCCTTGCAGTACTGTTTGTTTTGGCATATGCCAGCATGGAGGCTCTCAGAATTATATCAGCTACATATTCAATACATGCTTCAGTGCTAAATAAAAACATGGAAACTTCTGGCACAGCAAAGGAACAATATAAAAATCTGCTAACACAAAGATTGGAGAAACCAGGAGACAAGTTTCCTCAAATAATGTTAATGTGGATTCTGTGTGTGTTCTCTGTGTTGGTGAAGCTGACTGTTATCTGCATCTTTGTCCCAAAGTTTATTGTTGCCATAGTGCCACTGCTGTTTGCATATCTGGCTATTCAAGTAAGATATAAACATTTTTTAAAATGTTTTTTTTTCTTAATTAATATATTAAAGATAAAATTTACAATGTACTAATAATAATAAATTGGAATTGCAAATTGTTATTTTGCAACTATTTATAGAGATTTGTTGTGCCAGCTTCTCAAGAACTCAACAGACTGGAGTCAGCCTCAAAACTTTCAATTTTCTCTCATTTTTCTGAGACACTGAATGGATGTCATGTGATCTGGGCATTAAATGCTAAAAATAGATTTTACGAGACGTGTACCAAGCTCATTGACCAAAATAATTCATTTTACTATGCACGCATGTCAGCTAATAGGTATTATTATTATTATTATTATTATTATTATTATTGTTATTATTATTATTATTATTATTGTTATTATTGTTATTATTATTATTATCTTAATTATCAATGTCTTGCAACTAAAGTAGAAATCAAGTCTATAAAACCCTAAAGTTAGAACTATTTTTTATAAAAATAAAATTTTAATGGTATTATTTTCTAGATGGTTGGGAGTTTGGACTGAAGCAGTCAGTAGCCTTGTGGTGTGTTTTACAGCTAGTTTGTCTCTGTCAACTCACAGAATGGATGCAGCTCACTTGGTTTATTTGTTGTCTACTCCATACAGGTAAAATTGTTTTGTCTCATTTCATTTTATTAAGTTCTGTGATCTAACATTAAATGAAACCCTTAAATATACATTCCTTTTTGCATATGTGTTTTGTCCTGTCTGATTTAGAAGTTAGTTTATTATCTCTGAAATCTGTTTAAAGTCTTATATATCAGAGAAAGGTAAGACAATTGGAAATCATTCTTTTATAATAAAAATTCTTTTGACTTGTTTTTTCCAAATATTTTTGTATAGTAACAATATTTAGATACCTGATCTAAACATATCAGACTTAAAAAGAAATTTATGCTCAACAATCTGTCTTTAATACTATTCAACATTTTAGTTCTCAAAATTTAGCTACAGCAAGAGCAAAATTTAAAAAATGCTTGGTCAAAATATTAACAGAAGTTATTACAATTTGTTCTTAAATGTTGTATTTATCATTTTTAAGATATTTTTTTATACTACCACTTCTTACCATCTGAATGAATTAACTGTAACCTGTCTAGGTTGTTTATCTACTTAAAAACTAGTTCATTCTATGTTCATGGAGCAATTTTAAAGCTATTTCTGTGATATTATCTTTAATATTTTATTTCATCTAGATCAAACATTATCTGAGCTGGGTGAGCAGATCTTTAAGTCAAGTGGAGGCAAATGCTACTAAAAATAAGTTTATTAGATCTTTGGATTATTAAAAAATGATTTATACATTTTTTTTTATAAAGAAGGAACAAGTTAGCCTACTAATATCAACAGTGGGGGCTATAGGATTTATAAGTATTTGTTGTTTATTGTCACTTTTTCTGAACTTGTCCATTATAAGTTTAAATTACTTAAGTTGTGTTTTGTTCTATGAAATCTAGAGCAACTTATAGAAAACACTTAATGTCACAAATCTCAATTAATTTAAAATTTATCATAAAAATTATAAACAAACAGATGTTTATGTGTGTAGGCCTACAGAGTAAGAAATCTAAAAATATAACAGCTGGTGTGTATATGAATCAGATTAAATAACAGAAAAAAATTGAGATAGAATTCACAAATAAAATATAATAACTAGAATGTAAGTAATTTTTACAGCAAGTGGTTTGCAAGTGTTTGTTCTTAACTTGTTTATTTCAAACTTCATTAACTCTGACATGTTTCATTAATATAGTGTAAATTACAGAACAGGCATTATGTTTAAGGCATTCATTTTTTGTGTTACATGTTTTGCAAAACAATTATTTTTTAAATATAAGCTCGTTGACATGTATTGATGATATATACTTTAGAATACATTTCTGTTTGTTTTCAGTTTTTCATTTCAATTTACTTACATTTTTATGTTCAAAACTTTTACATGTATGTTTTTAGTAGTTTTAGTGTCTGTAAAGCTATAAAAAAAATTAATTTTACATTAGATTGTAAGTATTTTGTAATTGTAAATAATATTATTCGAAAAATATCAGTTGTAAAAACATGTATATATTAACTTGCTTGTTTTATGCCTGACATTATTACCATTGTGTAAAACATAAAGGTATTTTTTAGGTTTAACAATCTCTTGAAAATGTATTTTAGACTAAGTACATGTATTTTTTCAAGTGCATAAACTGATGTAAACTTTCACATACAAAATAGCCCAATACTAATTATTTTATATGCTTACACAACCTAAATTTTTAAATATTATTTAGAACACCACTTAATAGTTATAAAAATCTACTGTGTTGTATGTATTTTACATCAAAATGTAGGACTACTAACATGAATAGCATAGCAATTTAATTATCAATCAACATTTTAATCAGATGTGTGGATAATATTAATAGTCCTAACTTTACTTAAGCAATACATTAATTTAATTTTGCAGTTACCTTTGATATATAGTAATGATAACACAAGTCATAGAGGCCTATTTATTAATATTTATCTTTTTACTTTTTAAGGTCAATTGTGTAAATAGCAATTTCATTATTGGAGATTACCTGCAATACTTTTATATTTAGGCCTAGATCAGCTATAGGCCTACCCTTTTTAAAATTCTTGATTACCCTTAAACCACCACGCACTGTAAACCACACTACCTGTCTTTCCAGTAACTTAATTTTAATTTGTGTCTGAACTTTTCTTTAAATTACGTAGACTTTTTTGTTGTTGTTTTTGTTTTGCTATTTTTTCCCTTTTGCTATGTGGACACCACTCCAATAATTGTTTAGGAATTTTCTAAGGTTAATTTTTTATGGTGTCTTTTACAGTTGGTGCTTTTCAAAATTTCTATCTGTTATGTAGCTAGTCCTGTAACTGTCTATTGAAGATCAATAAAGCTACTGGTCGGGTTATAACGCAAATATATTTGGTCGTAGCCTTTGTGGTGTCAACTTTATTTAAAACGAACGACTAAAAAGTGTAAAATAAAACCTATATAAAATCCCTTATAATAACCAGCTTTGAAATCCACTGAAAATTAAACAAACTGTATGAGGTTAATAAAATTAGTTCTAGACGTTTTAATTTAAACGAAGTTTGAATCTAGTGTTTTATGAAGTTGATAAATTATTTTTAATCCCAGTGATGTGCTGCCATACAGCAGGCTTCGTTATAAATGTGTTTGGTTTTTTTATTAATAAGGTCTACTTTAAAAAAAAAAGAATAAAATAGTTCTTAAACAAAAACCTTTAATTTAGACAAACTAATTTTTATATAGTAAATAAGTGAAGATTAACAATAATTAGCATTTTTGTTACTATGTAAAACTTTACACTTAGAGTACATTCAGTAGAGAACTAAGAATTTCTTTGGAAAAAGGGATATGGCAATAACTGAGATTTGATTGTTAGTTAAACAACCAAGTAGATCTTGTAACCGATATAGGCCTGTAGTTTGTTCAGTCAGATTCTTACCCTTCGTATGGATCAAAGTGTGTTTTGCACGCTTCCAAAGCGTTTACAACTGAGTGCCTCTCATTATCCATCCAATAAATGTCAATAATGCAGACAAAATAAGAGGGCCCACGCAGAGGCGTAGCGACCCTTCCCTGCGCCCGGAGACAAACTTTTCGATTTGCGAGCCCCTTAAGGTCGGCGCCCCCTAAGGTCGGCGCCCGGGGCATATGTCGTCGTCCGTCCGTCCGTCGTCCCCCCTCGCTACGCTACTGGGCCCACGTGCTTGATCATCTCCTAGTAGAGACAGTCCTCACCAGTCGCCTAGACGGTGCCACACTTCTTAATGTCCGCCTTCATCTAGTTCTGGTTGAAGGGAGTCGGAAATGTGTCTGAATGGGGTTCATCAGCCTCACCACGCACCAGCTCATGGTGCAAACTGTGGTGGACAACTAGTCTCTCAATCTTGCCGATATCGGGGTAATGGCGATTTAAGGCTTGAGCACGACCATATTCCGAGTGAACTAATCCTTTCTTTGTCCCGAGGGGACGTTTATTAATGCTCGATGAAGTCTCCTCCCTGTCCAATGTCCGTAGAACTTTGTGTAGTCTGTGTGTGTCTTGTGGTCCAGGCCTATGACGGTTTCACTACCGTGGCCCAGGTACTTCATAGTCCGTTTCACGTCCCTCCCGCACGACCGATACTCTAAGAAACGATCGGGTGCGGCACGTTATGTAACCAGTTTGTTAATGGTTTTAGCTCCGCTTCTATGTTCTACAACGTCTTATTCCAGAACTTATTTACCTTCCAGAAACTCACGAAATAGTTTTCCTAACAGAAGATAAGATACCGGTAGGCTGGTAGAGCAGTTTGTACGCTTGATCGAGTTTTTAAATCTGCATCGTATGAGTCAACTAGGGAGTAAAGGGAGTCAAACATGGTTAAAAAGCCGCCCAGTCTGCATTGTGGTAGAATTAGCGGGCAGCAGCTCGAGCTACACACATGAAGTCCAAAGTAAGTGGTGTCCTAAACAAAGCGGTCGACACTTTGAACAAACGTGGGATAAAAAGGTCAGATCTGGGCCATTCGAAGTAAGTATGTCATGGGTCTGGTAAATAAACGTTTCACCACCCTGTCACGTTTGGACAACCCTAGCGAGGTGGACATGCATTGAAATCACCCGACAAGAGCACAGTTCGTCCTTTTACAACCCCCTCAACCTTCCCCTGCAAGGTTGGTAAAACAAATATAAATAGCGTTTGTCCGCCAAGCTTGAGTCTGATGTCCAACACATCAGTGGCAGGGCGTCTCAGTGTTTGTTCTTCTTCTTCGTTCTTAATTATTAGTGTTGAAGGGGATCGAGATTTATCTGCCAGTGGGTTTGAACTCGAGACTTTGTTCGAATTTATCAACCATGAACTTTTTGCCGACTCGACTACACCTCCAACACAATTAAGCGTTACGTGTCAACTGGTTATGCGCCATTGAGGCCATTGACTCCGATTTCAGCCTGCTTTTCTGCCTGCCTTTGTCCAACCAAGAACAAACTGCAAGGCAGCAGTTGTTTAATTTTGGAGTTGTCTCTCCTTGAAGAGTGGCTGTCCCCAGCTAACGAGCCTCATCTGCCCGAGGGTTCGAACTCGAGACTTTTCGGTTTAGCAACCATGAGCTTTTACCGACTCGACCACGCCGAACCCCTTCAGTGTTTGTGGTTCAATACATAAAGAACGATTAGCCAAGATGGCGACATGGTACAGTACACTTACACTGAAACAAAGTACAACCTAGTATGAAATCAAGAATTAGATTATAACCCAGTTTCCTGGGCCAAGAAAACACAACGTCATAAGTGTCAAGAAGATGCAAAACCTCTTGGGTCAGAGTTCACAGGTCATGATTGTTGCACTGCTTGAAGATCAACTTTGTTTTGAATACCCCATGTGATTGTCAAGGTGTTTTAGTGAAGTGATCTAACACAGGGTCAATATCAATCCAAGAACTGTCTAGGGATGAACACTTTACGCGTGTGGTGAAGACAAAGTGTTACCGTTGGTTTGCTAAAGTTTATTTTTGTTGGAGTTTTTTTCAACAGAACTATAAGCGGGATAGCAACGGTTGTCGTTGTATGGCCCATGTCAAGAAATAGAAATAGCTTCGGTGATGAGCATGTTTTGGTTTTTTAAAAGGTAGTACTCTAAAGGTGATCAGCGTATCTAACCAGGTAGATTATACAAGATCTTGCCAATGTCATGTCGTACAGTAGGCATATACGGTGGTAGATGTCGCAAACACACGATACGTTTTTGTTGAAACATTATTTTCTCTTCAAATTAACATCATTTTCCATAATCGTATCGTCCAACAGAGATGGAGTAGTTTGTTACACACTGGAATGATGTTTCCTGTTTGTGTTAAATTGTGGAAGTCAACAAGGAAAGGACATCAATTGAGTTCATTCTTTAAGTCTAGCAGCTTTTGAAATGCTTGCATGACATCAGGGTCTAATGGTTTATCCCCAAGACATAAAATACGAGAGCTTTGGAGACTTAAGATTCATCAAAAGTCATTGGTCCTGCCCTCAGCCATGTCTGTGATTACACCTAAAAAAACTTCGTCCGGTGAAGAAGTAAAAAACGACTTTATAAAATTCTTTTGATATCTGAAGAGAAAATACACATTAAATTAGTTTCAGTGTTTTTTTCTGGACTTTTTTTCTCCGGGGGAGGAGTAGGGGAGGGGTACTTGATATTTTCGGGAGGGGGGGGGCGGACACTGGTAAAAGTATGTTTTCTATGTAAATTCCATTAAATTTAGTTTTCTATTTTACGATTGAATTTTAGATATGTGTATGTATTTATTTCTTTAATTCATGTGGGTGAATTTAAACAAAAATTAAATATATTTAATTAAGAGGTAAATTCATGTACTTGTTACCAAAAAACAAACGAATTGAGATGTTGGTATAAAACTCACCTTTCAAATGTATCCATTGCCCCGTATACAATCAGTAGTCAGACCGTAGCGGGACACGTCGCCAGGGCTGTTATCAATGGCGCCCCACACCGTGTGTTTCAGTGACACAATGTGAGATGTGACAAGCCAGTATCAAAATAGATGTACATAACGATCTGTTCTTGTGGTAAGCAAAGTGTGTGAATGGCCAGCAACGTCAAGATAACGACATAGCATTTAACTTTGTTTGTTGTAGCAGGATGAGTAACGGAGACAAGAGAATATATAGTGTCCTATACGTAAGTTTATATATAGGCCTACATTTATTATTCGGAATATTGTTATTAATTTTTTAAACATCCACAAGCGTAAAAATTTATCTGGCAAAAAAATTCCATTGCTTTTTTTGTCGCCATTGACAACGGATGTTGATTTCTAAAGACCTTTTCTTTCAACTATCGGTTTTAACAAATTTGTAGTTCAATAGATCCAATCTGTAAAACTATTTCATATTATTGTTGCTTGTTTTAAATAAACATGCCGGTCAGTCAAAATCCAAAAGAGTGTGGTAAGGAAAAGCGTTATGACTTATAATTCTAGGTTAATTTTTGGCTAATCGTGCTAAAATTGTTATTGATAATTTGATAATTGTTGGTTAGCCTACTGTTTTTTACTTTCTCGTATAAACGAAGTATAGTATAGAGAAAGTATTGTATAAAAAAAAATAAACCAGGAGCGATCTCCCCTAAACTTTCTCGAATATTCTTTTATAAAAAAATTCATGTCTATATACTATATCCCGAGTTCCCATCCCCTGTTTTTTTTATAAAAGAATATTCGAGACAGTTTAGGGGAGATCGCTCCCGGTTTATTTTTTTTTTACTGTTTACTGAAGTTTACTCTTTACAGTTTATACTACTACACTTACTTTGTGTTTAGTACTCTTTCAGAAATAGTAGTGAGTCTACCTACACTACACTCAACCACACTGTAGTACACAGCGCTTTGGACCTAGTTGTTAGTCCTAGTTAGAGTCCAAGAAAATAGAATCTAGTCAAGACTAGACTCTAGGCTCTATCATAAGGCCCTCCTAGGTTCACTAGATTAGACTTAGAGAGTAAAACTCCATTTTAGCGTATTTTATCCCCCGCTTCACGTTCACCTTTTACCGAGTCCTATATATAATATACAATATCGGGCCTATATAATATATAGTAGATATGTACTTAGTGATTATAATAATAATTATAATAATAATAATAATATCTAGAATCCAGTGATCGACTTATTCTAGTAACCTAGTAAATCAAGAATAATCTAGAATAGATCAAAATCTAGATCTATAATTTAGATATTAGGCCATATTATTGATATTAAAGCATATTTATTTAAATTATTATTTATTATAACAAATGTCCCTCTTCTAAAATCTATTTTCTTTAAAATATCGCTTATGTAAATATTGTACCTACTACTATAATAAACAGTAAACACCTACACTAGCTTCTTCTTCTTCGTTCTTAATTATTAGTGTTGAAGGGGATCGAGATTTATCTGCCAGTGGGTTTGAACTCGAGACTTTGTTTGAATTTATCAACCATGAGCTTTTTGCCAACTCGACCACACTTCCAACACAATTAAGCGTTATGTGTCAACTGGTTATGCGCCATTGAGGCCATTGACTCCGATTTCAGCCTGCTTTTCTTTTTGGATTTGCTTCCATAGCCTTTGTCCAACCAAGAACAAACTACAAGGCAGCAGTTGTTTAATTTTGGAGTTGTCTCTCCTAGAAGAGTGGCTGTCCCCAGCTAACGAGCCTCATCTGCCCGGGGGTTCGAACTCGAGTCTTTTCGGTTTAGCAACCATGAGCTTTACCGACTCGACCACGCCGACCGCTCCTACCCTAGCTATTGACACCACTGATCTTAGATATCTTCTTTTCTTAGGGTGGTTTTATCATGCTCCAGCAAAAAAACAGATTGGTCCCAAGGTGGACTACCCAGCTCCTTCTAACATACCAGGACTTGGGTTTGATGACCCAGCATCGACCCAAAGACCCGAAGTCAGAGAAATGGTGTTCAGAGAAACAGATTCTAAATATATCCGCATGGCCAAGATGGGAGGAAGAAAAGGTAACACTAATTATAAAATTTAATAAGTGATCTGTAACAATATCCAAAATGATTTTTATAAATTAACTTTTCTTGTATTTTATCCAGATTTGTTGTCATTCAAGCCAATCACTAACCACAAAGTTTCCGATGGTCCAGTGGGCTACCCCAGGAATGATTGGTTTTATTTAGAAGACAACAGATTAGAGGATGAAACTGAAAAACCAAAGCAACAACAGTTAGTTATTTATGTTCACTGTGAAAATAATTTTCTTGTTCTTGTATATCTTCACATTTTCTTTAACTTCCTTACTTATAATAACCAATTTAATATTGGAAATTGTTTTTGGGTTTATCTTAGTTCATAACTAAGATTTTCCTTTTTTTAAATTTTGAAATAATATTCTTACAATCTTCAATTTTCTTTTTTTAAATTTAAAACTTTGAGTATTTACCTTCCTAACATCCTCTTAAAAACTATTTTTACTTAACAGGCAGTGGGAGTTTCTTTTGCCTGAATATATGGTACACAAAAGCTACAAGCCATCCTTTGAAGATCCAGAGGTGAGGCCTACCCGCAGTGCTGCCCCCTATCACACAGAAGTAAACTCTGTGATAGAAGAGGGGAGAGCAGCCACAGACAAAACTGTTCGAATTCCTGAGCTGAGAAAACAAGGGTAGGCTTAACTAGTGTGTTTCAGTAAAAACATAAAAACTTGACATGTGTGATTCTTGCTTTGTTTACATCATACATGCTTAACTACAAAGCATGAGCATGCTCAATACTTCTGATTCCCTCTCCTTCTGGCTTGATAAATCCTTTAAACATGGCAAACTGCAACAGGAGGAGGATCTAAGCATGATCTATATCATGTTTTTGTTACCATCCTGTATATTTCCATTAGTCTTTTACTTCTTTACCGACTACATTGTACCAGATTACTAAACTTGAGACACTAAGGTTATATAGCATACACGCTACTACTGGACCACACCTCATTTATAATGCATGCAAAAACTCAGACCAAACAATGTTCTAGCTCATGAACGTTTGTAATACGGAACCATACAACATTGTAAGATTTTTGTATTCTCTCCCCTCACGAAAAATATTTTTACCATGTTTTTAATTATCTATATAAAATATTTTTAAGCCATAACATTTTAAAATTCACATTTGTTTTCTTTAATTAATAGGAACATTTTTTAATTTTTTAAATTACAATATTTATTATTGCATGAAGCAAATAATATTGTCCTAATAAAGAGAAGTGCATTTTGGGTTCCTTGTATGTGTTGAAATTTGTTAAAAATGCCTTATGTTCAGATATATTACTTTACTAAATATAAGGAACTGTAGGATTTATTTTTAGTTTTAGGAGAGAGAGGGGTAACTTTTTTTTTATTTACTATCAGTATAGTTACTGGTCAGCTCATCTAAAATGTTTTTAAAAACCTGATGACTCTCTGGATGGAATTATCTGTTATAGTTAGAGCACTGTTATATCACACTGCAATTAATTTTAAATATTTATTTAAATATTCAAAGATTTTGTGCTATTTTGAATAGGCGGATGAATAACTTCACAGAACTGGCTTACAAGCATTTTTTACTTTAACTCGTAAAATCTCAATATAAGGCTTTACAATATTGCAGTAGGATCTAATAAAAATTTACCATGTCCTTTACTATAAAATGGTGTAATGCATTTTTAAAATCCAAACATTTGTAAACTACCAACATGAGTCAAAGTTCTTGGTGTGGTAGTCTACTGAAATGTTTTATTTTATTTAGGGATAGATAAAAAAGAACCTATTTTATAAAATGCTGCTTGATTCCTTAAATTAGCGCATATTGTTTGTTAACCCTTGAATATGTTTGATGACCAGGTATGGAGTAAGAAATGAGAAGCCAGCACGCCCTGCCCAGAAGCCCCCAGTTAGAGAGAAACCAGTCAAACCCCAGGAGTCTGAGAACTGGCAGGGGCAGCAGGAGAGGAAGAGCAAACCACAGATGTTAGTGTAAGTGGGTACAGGGGTGTTATATAAATGTGATGTGTGTTAGTGGGTAGAGGGGTGTTATATCAATGTGATGTCCTTAAGTGGGTACAGAGGTGTTATAGGCATAAACATGTGATGTGTGTTAGTGGGTGTTACATAAATGTGATGTCTGTAAGTGGTGTTATGAAATGTGATGTAAGCTGCTGCAGGTATATTACATAAATATGATGGCAATAGGTGGATGTATATAATATTTCTAACTATGATTTAATATATTTAAACATACGTGGGTCTATGAATTTTTTCGTTAAAATTCATCATGGTGATTAGTTTCATTCATTGATTACCAGTTTAAATTATGCCCTAAAACAGAATTTATTTTAAAAATTACGCAACTTGAAAATTTCTTGTATTTTTGTTTTTTTTAAACCGATTTTTGAAAATTTGTAATTGTTTTTTCTATTTTTCTAAACATTGACAATACCAGTAATATTAGAATTTAATGATTACTTTAACCGCATTGATTAAGATTGTTAAACTTGCCTAGATTAATTAAAGTGTTTACAATGCTTATTAACTTTTTACATTGAATACTGTATTTATCAATGTATGCTTATTTTTTTTAGTTAATTTCAAGTTCAATTTAGTCTGTTTTTTCGTTTTAGTTGCTCAATTTAAATTTCTCCCACATTGTTTTTTAATTCAACTTTTTAACCTCCCATTAGACCAAGTGAGAAAGAAGAGCCAACGAGCATGAGCAAGCTGCTGTCAGGTGACTACGAGAGACAGTGGTACTCCAAGCTATCAGAGCTGCAGCACCAGGAGCCTCAGGCCCAGCCCAGGGCTGCTGACAGTGAGAGGCAGGCTGGAACTAGTCAGACAAAAACAGCATCTGCGACCCACAGACGGGCCAGGTCAGATATCCACCCCAACAGTGCTCAGAAAACAAAGACCCATGAGGATGAGGATAAGGAGCTCTTCAAACTGTCCAGGTAATTGTACAAGAGTTGAGCCAAATCTGTTTTGTAACACTAAATTTTTAAATGTGTTTATTTTACAACTAAGTTTCAATAGTCCAGAATTCAACATAAATAAAATAAACATTTATAAAACTGGATTTAGTTTCTTTTAACTTGGTTCTCTTCTAAAATTTAAAATACCAAGAAAACTACATCTTACTGTATGCACTTTCTTCCACACATCTCTTTGTGGAGAGATGTAACATTGCACTGCCCCCCCCCCCCCCCCCCCCCCCCACCACCACCACCACATCGTGTCAGCTGCACTCTGACAAAATAAAAAACGTAAATCATTTATTTAGAGAATATATACTAAACCAATGTCTGCCCCGCCTCCATAAAAATTTCAAGTGCCCCCTCTGAAGAAAAATGTATGAAAGCAACTCTGATTTTATGGATGTCACAAAAAAAGGTTCATATTTTAACTTGCCTCATTTGACAAATTTTTTTTTTTTCTTGCAGGTTCAAGAATGTTTCCAGTAAAGTAGACACGTACCAGAGACCAGAACTTTTGACAGCTGCCAATTAAAACAAAAAACTGTTTGCCATATTGTTTCAATGAATCCATCCATCTTTGTTCCACAATAACTATATAACATCTAGTTTTAATAATGAGTAAATTTTCATTTTTGTAACATCTTTATTTTAAATTTAAATATTTTTTTAAAATCACTTTTTATTAACTAAAAGTATTACAAATGAATATCTTTTTTTTGTATGTTGTTTTACTTGTTGCCCAATCTAGTATTATATTTTAGCATTATTCTAGAGCTAGTTGTTTCACTACAATCACTTTGTGTGGGCACAGTTTAAATCTCTGTAAATCATGAACAGGGCATGCCAATAAGAAACAAAACAAGAATGACAAAAACATTTGATAGTCTTATACAATCTTATATTAGATAGTTGAAAATGTTTACAAAAAGTATTATCAAAAGTCCTGATAATTTCTCTGGGAAATATTTCAGCTAAATAAACTTTAATTTATTGAATACTCAAATTTATTTCGACACATTCCTCACACACTGTCAAGGCTTAAAATATAAATATAAATACACACATGCACATATATAAACATACATATTAAATATACTAATATGTGTGCATATGTTTCTTTAAATATATATTTTTACATAGGCCTAGATATGTATATTTACTAATTTATCCTATGATTAATTTACTTGTACTGCTTTAGTAACTATGAAGCATTTACTGTATGCTTTGATTTTCTACAGTAGGTCTATTATGCAGGCACTGTATTTTTTAAATACAATCAAACTCAACTACATGTTTATAAATGATGAATGCTCTTCCTGTATGTAAAATAAACATTCATCTTGACCTAACTAGATTTTGGGTTTTGTTTTTCAGCTGTAAAATGTAAATGTTGCTTTGTACTTTAATTAGCTTTGACCTTAAAAGTATGAGCCTCCTTTAATTTTTATATCATATTCCTTTTCAACTGTTTAACTTTCAGAAGGAGAATGTTGTGTTTAATTTTAAAATTCTATGTGTAAAACCTACACATTTTAAATCACTGTTGTATTTTTATCAACTACATATTTCTATTTAAACCAAGCCAGAAGAATTACACAATTTATAAGCAACTACGTGTTAGTTGAAGATATCAATCCCTATTACGATTTTAAAACATTAAGTTATTCTTTAGTCTCCCACAAGTAAACTATTACTAGTTTTAGACCTATTTACAAAGAGTGAAGTACTGTTACAGTAGGCCTTTAATAATGGGAGGGGGGAGGGGGCTAATGTCATTTGTTTTGTTTTTTAACTGTTATTTAGAATTGACACCTCCCAATTTTTAAGTTACCGTGATGTAGTTGATTTCAGATAAGGATGTAAAAATCCATCAAGCCAATCCGTGTTTATTTTGACCATAAAAAAACTCCCACCAAATGAGTTATCCCCCTTCTCTTCTATATCTTACCATTAGCAATATTACCATCTCTATGTGCATAATTTTTTAGATCATGTAAGTTCATCTGAAGTTTGACTTTGCTAGTACTATGGGACTAGGAGTCTAGGATTGATAGTTCATCTTAAGTTTAGCTTTGATACTAACATTTGGACAAATAAAGGCATTTCGATGCGCTTCATACGCACAAAATAATAATTGTAAAACTAGAACAATACAGGGTAACATTTTACGAGCCCGCTACTCCAATGAATATCGCAGAAAAGTATAGCATATAGTTTTAACCGTATTTTACCAATACACAGTACATGTCACAATTTTGTAGGAGCTAAACTTCACTCTACACCGTCTGAGCCTTTAACACACCATTGATAACAATATAGATCTGATATAATATAGGCATACACGATTCGCAAGATTTTTGTTACCTCCCCTTGTCAGATTCAGGTTCGCATATTATTATTAACACTACAGATCTTTCAATAAACCAAGGGAGATTTAGTATTTTAACATTCTGATACTTTGTTTTATTATACATATTTAGTTTTTGATGTCATATATATATATATATATATATATATATATATATATATATATATATATACATATATATATATATATATATATATATATATATATATATATATATATATATATATATATATATATATATATATATATATATATATATATATATATATATATATACATATATATATATATATATATATATATATATATATATATATATATATATATATATATATATATATATACATATATATATATATATATATATATATATATATATATATATATATATATATATATATATATATATATATGTGTGTGTGTATGTAAGTGTCACGATAATGTACGAGTTTTTGATAGGCCTATGGCAATACATAGAAAGTGAAACTAAAAGTAAATACTTGAATATAAATGTGTGTAAAGTTCAAATCAAAATAGGGAATTTCCGATATTACTTTCCCATACGTCCACTGTCCTTGTGAATCATGGGATTGTAATGATTGTAACTTAAAGTTATCGATGTTTCTCCCAGATGTTACTCAAAATATAACCGTTGGTTAACTGAACCGAATCTCACACTGATGAATGTTTAGAGTGTTTAGTGATTAGAAAATTGCTAGATAGAACTAGGTCTTTCCGACTTCATACATCCTCACTGTCATTTTTATTTCAACTTTTACAGTTAAGTGAATACATTATATGCACACAAACACAATGATATATATATATATATATATATATATATATATATATATATATATATATATATATATATATATATATATATATATATGTAGGCCTATATATATATATATATATATATATATATATATATATATATATGCATATGTATATATGTATATATGTATAGGTATGTATATATATATATATATATATATATATATATATATATATATAATTATATATAAGACGTTCATTTATATGTATTATTAATCGATAACTGTAATCGTATAATTGGGTGTGTATGTATGAAAAACCAGATTTAGCTTATCTTATCATCATCAGGTAATAATTTATTCTAAGTTATGACCCAATTCATGTTTTGTATTGTATCGGGTACCAATTGAAATGTTCTTTTATGGCGTACCCATTAAAATGTTATAGCATCGTGTACCCTTTGAAACGCCTAAATCGTGTTTACATTAGAATTTTATTGTATCGTGTACATACTGAAATGTTACTGTGTCGTTAAAATTTTATAGTGTGTGCAACCCATTAAAATGTTATTTTATCGTCTACCTTTTATAATGTTATTTTATCGCGTACACACTAAAATATTATTGTACTTTGTGTCCTAATGTTACTGTATAATGTACCAATTGAAATGTATTGTGTACCCTTATGTCCCGACTATCTACCTTACAGTCAGCAATGTCAGGAGCTTCAGAGAAACAGATCGAGTTCGTCAAACAGAAGCTGAAGCTGTTGGCAGAAGAAAAGGGGCAGATACAGAGCAAGCTGGACGGTTACATCAACAAGGTACTGGGTTATTCTGTTTCACTTTGTTCAGCCAGCGACATACTAGAGCAGTGGTTCTTAACCTGGGTTCATTCGAACCCCAAGGTTTCGGTGAGTTAGTCTCAGGGGTTCGGCGGAGGTCAAGACCCAAACCTGTCTTGACAAGTTACTGGCAGTTTTGTTTCACTTTGTTCAGTAAGCGAGATACTAGAGCTGTGGTTCTTAAACTGGGTTCGTTAATCTCAAGGGTTCAGAGAACGTCAAGACATACACCCAACTCATATGATTTAGGATAAGGTTTTGTCAATGCTGACGATAGAACTTATATAGTTTATATAAAAGTGAGGGGATGACAGTGCCATTAGTGTAAACGAAATTCTGATTTGAATAGAAATGTTTTATGTTAATAAAAAACATAAACAACTATTTAAATTACTATTTAAACAGTCAACAGCACATTAAAGCAATGCATCACCAGTAACATACGCATTCGTTAGGTGTGATATAAGGGCTGTACGTTGTCAAAATCTTCATGAAGTTACTTATTTACAACACCTTTAACCAGTGTCTGCTCCAGACTTTTTTTCTCCGGGGGGGGGGGGGGGGGAAGAAGGCGCACTTGATATTTTGTAGACTGGAAAAACTCTGCCTTTAACTGTTGATACGCAACACCTTTAGATGTCGATACACAACACCTTTAAATGATGATACATAATACATTTTTATGTTGATACATAGGCCTATACAACACCTTAAAATATTGATAAACCTTTAAATGTTGATACCTATTGTTAGTCTAAGATGTCTTCTTGATTGAACAACAATGATGCTACATAAATCAATTAGTCTAATGTATAATTACGATTTAACATTAATTAATTAGTGCATGTAGTTTTAATTTTTAAAAATAACAGCGATGCTACAATAATAAATTACTCTAATTACTAATTAACTAATTAGCCCTGTTTCCAATAATAGATAACCACAGAGGCCCAAGACTGGATTAGCAAACAGGGAAGAACACATCAAAACTTTTACGACATCTGTAGTAAAATCGACAGGGCTACATGTTTTGTTGTTGGTAATTTGGAAGGCGTGATAACATGTGAGTTGATTAAATGTTGTTGTGTTGATGATACGGAGTGGTCTAGCAGTAGAGCGCTACACTGCTGACCCGAAAGTTTCGAGTTAGAATCCAGTTCAAGTCAGTAGAACGTCACTGAGTCATCTCATAATAGGTTGACACGCATAATAGGTTGACACGTAATATTTAATTATGTTGGAGAGAATTTTTGTCAGTTAAGAACGAAATAGAAGAAAGACTACTTTCCTTTTTTTACTTTGTGATTTAATACATTTTGATACAAGAAGTGTTTAAATTACCTTTTTTAGAAGCGGATTTCAATGTGTACCTTCCTAATTATACTTGGGCAGCAATAAAACGCTCTTAACTAGAATCTCCCCTTCCACCTTAGCGTACGTCTCTATTGACATGCTTTTACTGTTTTCCTCGCCAGCTGAAGAGGGGGACCAAACACTTCAAAAATGTGCAGGCGAATCAACAAGTTACGATATTTTACAAGATCGTGTTGCGGCACTAGGTAAGAAAAACTAAATGTGGGCATGTCTTGATTTTACAACTATTTAATTAATGTCAACCATTTTATAATTCTGATTATTTTAAAAATATAAAAAAAATAATGTTATACAACACTAAAGATAGTTTTAAAATTTTATATTCTACTTAAAAACTATAAGTATGCAGAATGTAAATATTTAGTCTCAGAATTTTTTTTTTTATTTCATAGAACAAAGCCTTGAGAAAATCAATCAATTGCTGATCGATAACAATCGGGGGAAAGGTTTGTCAATACTTGATGATAAATTATCGATACTTGAAGCCAACGTTAATCAGTTGTCTGGTGATTTAGTAAGTCAAACAAAACTTCTACAGAACGAGATCAGAGAAGTGACGAAGAACCAAGCAATTTTATCTGGCCAAAACACGACCAACCAGAAAGTCCTGGCAGCTCTCCAAACAAACCAGGCGTCCACCAACTCAGCTCTGAAACAACTGACCACTCGAGTTGACCACTTGTCTACTGACATCTATAATCAGGTGTTGGATATACACAGCAAAAACACGCAACTTGAAGTGGATTTGAAGAACTACGCTGATAAATTGAATAGTTTTGAAAACTCGCTCTGTAAGGAGACAAAGAAAATCGCCAGCCTTGAAAAACTCTCGGAGAAAAGTTCTCTGGACATTCAAAATCAACACAAGGAAGATAAATCCAAAGTAAGTCGTGAAAAACTGATTAAAAAATTTCTTTAACTTTCTTAGCTAAAAAGGGATAAACAATTTTAAACCTCACTGCTTTGTTGATCTGTAGCAAAAAAAAATGT